GATACTTTGCTGCGCCCTGTCGGCGTACGTTGAAGTGACATTGAAAATGTTAGTTGTCATTGAACGGTTGCTATGGAAGCAAGAGTTTTGATTGGTTCATTAGGTCCGGATCCATTTGCCGCATAAATGCGCCAAATTCAAAAAGCTCTGTTCTGATCAAAAGCGCTTCAACTGCAGGTTTTTTACGAAAATTTGCATTTCTATATGGCTGGACACCCGCTATTTTACTTCCATTCACACCACTAGAATTAGGCAATTTAATACTTATCATATAATTTTCTCTTCATTTCTATAAATGATTGCGTTTCTAACAACTGATTTCTATTGTTAAACCTTTGAATATATATTAAGATTGCTGTCCGATTACACTGTTCCGATCACGATCAGTGTAAGCGTTCAAGCAAACCACTTTTGAAGATGCAAGCCACTCGGGTTTGCGAAACGTCGGGAAGAAATTCTACCGAACAACTTGGACAACCAAAAGTGTGCAATGTATTTGCTGTGCAGAGTTTTTTACACGGGGACAAAGAGAACGTTTATTTAAAACCTTACGCAGTTTGGAAAATCTCTAGACACTTTGCTTGGCCAAAGTTCTTTGCGTAGTGTGTTTCGCCGTTTTTTCATCAAAGACAGATTAAGGGTGGTATTTTTCGGGTGCACATTTTCCAGAAAAAAAGGGTGCAGAACCCAACAGAGCGCAACATCGTTCAAAATTGTGCAACTAAAACTCTTCCTAACTAAATACGCAATTTAATAAAAACATCAGAAACACCTGAAACCACCGTCGGTATACGGGAGCGAAAACTTTCTCCTCCAGTGTCTTGCAGGGGGGCGAAACTCCACCCTGAGGCCGCCATTGAGAGCATCCCTTCCACGTCGCCCAGGCAACAGCTAACCTTTAGGGCGGAGCGGCCATATTGATGTCTGTTTTAGCATCCCCCAGCCCTTCGGCCCTTCTTGCGACCGCGGGGCTGGCAAATCCAATAATCTCACCCTGTTTGGATTGTGATGGAATGATTTACCGACAAATCAGTGCCGACAGAATAACGTTTTGTATGAGCTCGGTGTGGTTCCCTTTTCAGCCCAAATCCGTTTCAACTAATATTTGGAAGTTGTTTAACAAAATCGCTACTTGGGGGGACGTATTTAGTCCGCTGGCTAATTGAAGTTTTTTTAACTCTTAAGCCTCTGGCGGGGAATTTGAAAATATTGAAAAACTTCCCCAATTAGTCGCCTTAACGGTAAACCCACAAGGCCAACTGCCTTTAAAACTTCCTCATCCGCCGCCATACAATGCGAAACGGTTTTAATTAACTTTTTAAATCTCCCTCCAGCCGCAAAACGCCGTCGCTTTGAAGCCAGCAGGAAAATCGTGGGTGAACAACGTTTGAACGAATTCAGAAAATATTATCCCTCCATTCTCTCAGCGCCAACACAAAGCCTCCAAAGGTACACTTTGGCGTAAATAATTTCGCAAACTTATTCCAGGGTTTTGCCTGCAATTCCAGCCACTTCATAGCGGCCCCTCAGCTCTCATTAAGGAGATTTCGCAGACAATGGATTATTAAGGGGGAAATTATACATCCATTGTACATCTGTGCTCAGGGATTTTACCCCTCAGTTATACATGTTTACCGGAACTGCGTACATTAATATTCCAGCGCTGCACAAACGGCTAAAAATATGCATTTTTTATCATTTTAAGACTGATTAAGGAGCTGATGGGAAACGGCTGTTAATAAGCTTGACTGAAAAGCCGAGAAACGTTGAACAGTTAAGCAAGAAAAGCCACAGGAGATCGGGAAAAGCCATGAGAATATCCACACAGATTCGCCTTCATGAAGTCAAGCCTAAACTATACAAGAAAAGCGCTTAAAAAACACGCTGATATTTTGCGAAAAAGCAAAATAAAACGTAAAAAGGCATTAAAAATGCGCAAAATTCCTTGAGATAGCCCCTATAACGCCTTGAAAGGAATGACGCCAATTTTGAATCACTCTGTATAATTGGGTTTGGTACAGTTTCTCCTTTTAAAACAAAAAAATTATCGTTCCACTTTCGAAATCCTTCGTTTTTTTTCTAAATCACCATTTTTGCTCAAAAAAATATTCAAAAGTTTCCCTTATTTTCCGCTTCCTTGCAAAAAACAGCAGAGAATTTCACAAGCGTCTAGATATACGGCACGTCCTGTCACTTCTATCGATTGGGGCGATTCGAACCAATCAAATAAGCGTATCGTTGACAAGTTCTACACATGAGTTAAGACGATTTAAGGTTAGGTGGTTTTGTTTATTGTTTGATGATAATTATTTTATAATTTGTTGAGATAAACAACCGCACAAATTCATAGGTAAATTTTATACGCTCTTGGCTAGTAATTTTTAATTTTTTAAGAGGGATTGTTTGAATTTGTTGGAACAAAAATAATAGCATTGCCTTTATATTAGCACAAGGAAATACAGTGATAATCATGAGTATTCCTTAATTTATAACAATTTACAAATGATTTATTCTGATCAACTTAAATAGGTATTAGATTTTGTATTCGTAGTATTTAAGTAAGCAGCTCAAACCATTAAGCAAATCTCCTAAAAAGTGTGGTTTATTGCATATTTGACAGTATATTGAATATCCTTACATACATCGATACATTTATATGGATAGTTTTCAAATTAGTAAATACATTCCATAGATTTATTGATCGGTAAAACTTATAATAAACATCCCCCAAGTGGCAATAACAAGTAAGAGTGCTTATGACATTAAATACTAAAAATTTAATAAAAAATGTTGCATTATTGTTAAAATATTTAAAATTTCTGATTACAAATCCTAGTATTTTATACGCCTGATATAATGAAATTAATTCACATAGTACTACTGCTGTGAACTACACTTATTTTCATGTGTTGCTTAGTGTGAGATGTTAAACAAAAAGTAAATGGAAACAGAAGATACCAGCAATTCTTTTGCTTAATATTTCTTGACTCTTACAATAGTAATTTTATTTTTTCTGTTACTTTAAAATTAAAAAATCGTTGATAATTTGTTTTAATTAAATTTGCACATTGCACATAGGAAAATAACTTAAGCCAACTATCTATTATTAAAACGCCCCATTTGGTGTACATAATATATAGAGTAACGTTAAAAAACACATCGTTAAGTTCTTCTAAATCAAACTTTATTAGTCTAATAATTTTATCAATATTAATTAAATTAAGACAGTCAAAGTCCAACACTAGATTAATAAAATCCAAAGAGTTTACGGTTACAAAAAAATACCGGTAAAAAATCACCTAACCTTAAATCGTCTTAAATCATAACAAACCGCTAGGTCCGAATCGCCGCAATCGATTGTGAGAATTTCAAACATTTGGCGCCATTTCAGTTTTTACGCAAAGTTAGGCAAACAAGTATACTTAATCTGAAACTAGTCGTTATGCGTCACGATCACGTTCACTTTACTTACAGCAAAGTACATTAAAGAGAGATAGACATAATCGCCGATATGGTCGGTCAATAAACGAATATTTACTGTTTGATTCGGTTAAACCTTATAAGTTGGTAGCGAATTACTGTGTTGTCAGGTTGACGTTTGATTAATCGATTAGTTTTTGGTTTGGTAAGTTTTTATTTTTGCCTATAAATTTTTGCTAATTTTTCCCATATCTCAATCGTATTTGTTAGCTTCGAGTCTGCTAAAGTCTTCAAAAGTGATATAAACCTGTTTTTTTCATACTATTAGCGATTATTATTGATCTAAAACCAATTCAATAATCCCTTATCAAAAACAAAAGATTTTCATGACAACTATATCAAAAATGTTCGAAATTTGAAGCAAAGATCGTAATTTTTCGTTTTTAATGCTTGAGTATTCCAATATGCTGCCAATTAAGCATGGAACACTTTCTAAATAATGCTTAATAACAAAGTTGAAGTCGATCTTCAACTGTCAACAAAAAAAATTTCAATATTTTTCTCGTACTCCCCAACTGAGCCTCTATCACCTCGTAAGAGGAATTAGGCCAATTTTGAATCACCCTGTATGTTTGATTTACTCAAATGCATTCCAACTAAACCAATTACACTTAAAAACATGCGCAACTTAGCAAAAAAATTTGCGAAATTGAGAGCATTTTGTGGAATATGCGGACAGATTTGAATTGTCCATCGTCTTATATCTCAATAAATCACATATCAAATCGAAAATTCCCAATAACTGCCCCCGAATAGTGGAATACTGCAAACAAATAAGGGGGGCGATTTGTGAAGGCGCATTTGAGGTTCGGGTTAAGCCCCACTTAAGCCCCCGTCGGTCTAATACAATAGTCGTATGGGGGCGCCGAGTAGAAGTTAATTTGATCATGCCGGGTTCATAACAAGTGCATAAATGCGCCCATAAATCAAACGATTATCCGGACTGAGTTCCTACTAGTCGGCGAAAGCCACAACTGTTCAACTATGAATTTCAATGGGATAAATGAATAATTGCCGATCGGTTCTTCGTCCAATGGCGTACAAATTTAGTCACCAAAATATTATATTTTCATCGATCAGATTTACTCGACACCTTCTTCACGCATTCTTTGCAGTTTTTCCTGGTCTTCCGCATAGCTATCATACAACTTCTTCAGCTGGGCATCAATGTCTTTGAGGGACCGCTCAAGTGCGTATTGTTTCCAGAACTCTTCGTCCTTGACCAGTGAAAGCGCCTTTTGAGGGTTTTCCGGCGAATTTTGGTCTTTCAGGAACTTCTGGAAAATGTTGTTTCGCAGGCTAAATAGAGTTTGAGGTGAAACTGCCCTTTTGCGTGTGTGAAAGCTGTGCTGGAAGCCAAAGAGTTTCAACTAGTGCAGAAACTCACCTCCAATTCGCTGTCTATTTCCCCCATTCGAATCTGGTCACTTTCCATTACAGCGAAAGCATTTACCGATAAATCTTCTCCACTTTTAGCAGCCGTTGCCTCATTGAGGGAAGCTGCTGATAACTGGAGCTCGGCTTCATCCAACTGGAAATTGTCTGAAAGTGCACAATTTTGCTTTAGTTTCTGTTTTGTAAATAAAACAAGTTCTCCAATCAGTCCAAGAAGCTGCCTCAAACACTCCCGTCGAAAAAATCAAGCTCGGAGTTCTTCTTCCACTTACCAATGTCTTTTAATATGTTTGCAATCTTGGCCTTTTCTTCGTCGGTCAGCGAAAAACCCGCCATCAGGCCTTCCCTTGCCGCCTAGAATGATGTTTGATCAATACCCAGCATGCAACCACCACAATCCTCGACAGCCGCAGTTGTTTGATACAAAGAAGTGGGCACAAGCCAATAAAAAACTCACGTAAATGTTCTTCCTAATAAAGCTCACATTGCCAGTGCCGTCCTCAGTGGAACCACCAAGCCGAGCTGGTTCAGCTGCGGTTTCCTCAATTAATTCCGGATCATCATCACCTTCAGGAGCTTTGAGGCAGAATATTTTGCAGCTCAAAAAATGCTCACTCACCTTCGTTTGTCTCCTGCTCCATTTCCGGGCATCGTTCCCGATGCTTCTTCTCAAAGTTGCAAATCTGCAGGAATTTTTCGGTGCCGCGCTCCTCACTCAGTTTCAGTTCATTGATGGACGTGCACATTTGAAACTCTGCGCTGAGCCTCTCCAGCCGAACGGCCTAACAATAGGGTGTTTTCACTTTTTTTTTTATGTTGATATATAGAAAGTTGTTATGGCAAACATTACACTGATCCTCCATAATAATTTTAAAGCGAATTTAAATTCAAATCAGATATTTTCCGCCAAAAACTCCGAATCAGTATGGTCGGTTGCCTATCCCGATTGTGACGTAGCAAGTCATATCAACAAAGTGTCTCGTGTTTATTTTGTTGTTTTCGCAGCTTTGTTTTATTATCTAAGTTGTTGTGATTATCCTTATTTTATTGATTATTGTTATTATCTTGCATAATGGAAAACAGTGACATGTATGGATCACAAAATAATGGTGTTTTGTGCCAGGATGCAAGAATGCCTCAATAAGTGCTGCAAACAAACCCTCTCTAACCGTTCCTCATGATTATTGTTCTTATGAAGTGAATTTTTTGAGATAAAAGTCCTGATTTGAGGTTTCAATAGGAAAGTTGGTGATTGAATTTCAAGTTTCATCTTCAAAGTCTAAACATCCACTTGAAGGTAAAAAGTTGAATTTAAATTTAAAGATTAGAACAAGAGCTTCCGGGTTTCAGTCAAAATTTCAGGATCACGGGCGGAAATTTACGCTTGAAATCTTAGTTTCTAGATCAAAGTCGAATTTTTCTGTTTTTCAAACTGAAAAATGATTTTCGAGTTGCAGATTCGATATCGAAGGCGCAATTTTGTGCTCGAATCCCTGAAATGCACCTGTAGTTACAATTTCTGGTTCCCGCTTTGAAAAATTTGCAATTTTTTGTTCTTTGTAAGTGCAGATATCGAGTGAAGCTAGAAATTTTGGGTGTACGTTTCGCTATTATTGTTTCAATTATATCGAAACAACAAATTCTGATCGAAAAATTCAAATTTTGGTGTTCGAATTGTTACTGAAGGCTACACCTCAACTTTTACAGCTGAGTTCAAACACATGTTTCGAGTACCTATGTAAACTACTCATCATCAGGACTCGAGCCTGATTTTTCAAACAACAATAGGGTGTTTTCACTTTTTTTTTAATGTTGATATATAGAAAGTAGTTATGGCAAACATTACACTGATACTCCATAATAATTTTAAAGCGAATTTAAATTCAAATCAGATATTTTTCGCCAAAATCGCCTAATCCGTATCGTCGGTTGCCTATCCCGATTGTGACGTAGCAGGTCATATCAACAAAGTGTCTCGTGTTTATTTTGTTGTTTTCGCAGCTTTGTTTTATTATTTAAGTTATTGTGATTATCATTATTTTATTGATTATTATTATCTTGCATAATGGAAAATAGTGACATGTATGGATCACAAAATAAGTGATGTTTTGTGCCAGGATGCAAGAATACCTCATAAGTGCTCCAAACAAACTTTTTCTAACCGTTCCCCATGATTATGCACGTCAAGTTTTATGGTTCAAAGCAGCTAGACGTGATGTTCCTAAATCAAAATCAATGTTTTTTTATTGCGAGGATCATTTTAATGAAAGTTCGAACAAAAAGCTAATGATGAGGCAGACAGTGTGCAAAGAACTCTCGCGTTTCAATTCTACATATCCCATATCACCATATTGTTCTTTTAATGCCCAAAATACAAATTTAAGAGTTAATTTTACTTTTAAAGCAGCTATATGTATAGATTAGGTTAAGTTGAATAAGTGAAATTCTATATATTATTCACCTAATTTAAACCAATACAGACAGATTCGTATATTAAGGAGAGAGTAACTAATAATGAATTTACAGATTTTTCCTTACGCTGCTGCTTTGACACCCTTAAATTCGGCTGAATCAAAGCGTTCGTCGTTTTTTTAAAATTCGGTAACCATAAAAATATGTACACATGCTAAATTGTTTGTTGATGCTTTAAGGAATCCTTCTGAAGCCGTTTTTCAGATTAACACAAACTATAAATTATTTAAATCCACAAAATAGTTAATGAAACACAGCCACACAACTAATCACTATGCACAGAACGTAAACAATCCGCCATTTATATGACCAGAGACGTCACAACCGAAAGGACTGCGTTTTAGAGATTCGTGAATAATTTGAATTTTAGCTGAATTTGTTTACTAAATATTTAACAAAATAGCAATAGATAGATTAGTATCAACTTATTTAATCTTTCACATATATATATTACCATAATATTCAGCTTGTAGGAATTTTTGATACGTGACTCACCTTGTAGCGGCTAATTGTCTCGTTGATGTCTTCGTCCAGCTTCTTAATGAAATCCAACTGTTGTTTAACTTCGGGCGTATTTTTAAGATACTGGAAAGTTTTCCCTGTGCCAGACAATTCTTGTCGGGCGGATTCCAGAACCGAACAGGATTTTAACGATTTCAATTTGTCGAGCATCGCGTTGCAAAAGTTTCCAGTTTCGTTAACAATTTTTCTTGCGTCGCCTGTTAAAAATTAATTAGAAGCACTGAATTTAAATGGACGAAAAGTGGCTGTTTAGTGCGATTCCCATTAGCAATCCAGATTGTTTCGTTAATAATTTACATAATACCGAGACTACCGAGTGAAACTTTGCAAGATTGAAAGGTGCAAAAGAGAGTGTAAACTGGCACACCGTGTAGATATGCGCGCAAAATTAATGGCCTGCTATTTCGAGCGGCCAAAATCAATATTCGACGGTATGTTTGGGTTGTGCAAATGTGAATTTAAACATTAGTATTCATCGAAAGTTGCACGTATCGGAAGCTAAAATCACAGCAAACGCGAAGGTCAGTGTCGAGTAAAGGTCGGCGCAAAAGTGTTAAATGGCGCAATTTCAGGCGAAATTCGGCCTAGGCTTCCTTTGATTTTATCGCATCAACCTGGACAAGCAGCGAAAAGTATTTTTAGCCAGGAAAACATTAAAGGCCTGGATTTTGTTGAATTAAAGCCGTTCGTAAACACCAATCTATTTCGCGGCTTTTAAATAAATAAATACATGGGCGACCAAAGGCCAATAAGCGACTTGGGTACTTTCGATTTGACCCAATTTTACCAGATTTAAATTCCTGCTAAGGGAATAATCTAGAGGTTTTTGTGCAGTGTTTTCTATAGATGAGGAAAATTTCCAGTTGCAACTTGATTTCGCTGGGGCGTTCGATGCAATTAGAGGATAGCGCGCCACTTGTGCGAAAACGCTYGTTTTGGATAAAAATTGGGTAAAAATTAGAAATATTGTKTGATGTTTCTGAACTTTTCACCATTTTGCAATTGAAGTGTCTTAGATGGATGGGCAAATTTTCCAGAAGCCACTTGGCCAAGATCAGAAGTTGTAATTTTTTGGAAAGCATGATTTTTCCGACAATTTTTTTGAAACTTTAGCGTTAAATTTAAAGTTCCTCCTATAGGAGAAAAGCGAGAAAATTTGAAGGTATTTTCCTCCCTCGTTGAGAATCTGCGATTTTATCACGAGAAAGATCGTCATTTTTTTTATTAACTTTCAAGTACCAACCTGCTAAATATCGGGATTCCAAAGAATCTCTGGTTATGTGCAGATGTAATCCTTGCCTATAAATGGGGAATTTTTCAAGTTGCTACCTGCTCTAGATTAAAAGTGACGATTTCATTGTGCCAGAGCTACAATTTTTAGCCCAGTATTTACTAAGTGGCAGAAAATCCCAATTTCGTACGATTCTCTTACAATCTTCAACATTATCAAATTCCGGCATGTTCTTCAGCTGGAGAAAGTGTCAAGTTGCTGCAGACCCTCAACGAAAATGTGGGCATATTCTAAAGAAAAATCGTACATTTTCGCACTGGCAAATTCTAACAAAAAATCGTATTTTTTTGCGATTTTCTTAAACTTTTCAGTAGGTTCACACTCTGGTGTTTTCTATTAATGGTAAAAATGGCCAGTCGCTACTTGCTCTAGATTCGAAGTTATGCATTTTTAAAGGAAAGCGTGCAGTTGCTCCAAGGCATATCCTTTGAAGGCAAAATTTTCAAGGATACAGATTTGGTACGATTTTCTTGAAAAATTCACCATTTTGACACTCAACTGTCTTCTATAGATGGAGCAACTTTCAATAGGCTACTTGCTCTATAATCGAATTTATGAATTTTTTTAAGAAAAGCGTACAAGTGCTGTTATGCCACAGCACATCTTTTTTAGCCCAATGTTGCAGGAAATCAGGGTTTTTTGCGATTCAGTTGACACTTTTAACGAACGTGTATGATAAGAAAAAACTGGCTTCCAGCCTTCTTTCGTCATTTAATTCAAAAGTATCGTGCAAGATTGCAAYAAGTAATAATAAAAAAGATGATTGCGCCACTTAAATTGAATGTTGCCTGAGAGAGTTTCAAGTTTATTATAATTAGAGGATAGCGCGCCACTKGTGCGAAAAYGCTCGTTTTGGATAAAAWTTAGAAATATTGTGTGAAGTTTCTCAATGTACATAGGAGAAAAGCGAGAAAATTTTAAGATATTTTCCTCCMTCGTTAAGAATCTGCGAATTTTGGAAAGATAACTTGAAATCTGAACTGACTTTGCTAATTTACTACACAAGAGAACTCCAGAAGGTTTTGCTGTCTAAAGATTCAATCGTTGCCCATAAATTGTGAAATTTTCCGGATTAGAAGTTATGAACTTTTAAAGACGAGCATTTGTAGGAAAGCATTCATGTTTAGGCCAGCCAAAAATCCAACTTTGATACGATCGAATTAGATCTTCCATGTAATTTGAAGAACCAAGTGGATGGTCGCAACCAAATTTTTTGGACAACAACTTTAAACAAATTTGGCATAAAAAAGCCGCTAACTCTAATGGCCATCACTCTTGGGACTCACTGTACGCTGCAGCCTAATGCTTATGTAAACCACTACAAACCGGCTTAATTAGCAAGAATGTTAAGTCATCTACCTGATAATTTTCGAGCCATTTACGGCAAGTGATATGTGGATGAAATTTTAAAATTGCGCCAATTGTGCTAATTATGCGACAAATCAAAGGTGTTGTTCGTGTTATTCTAGAAATCGGTTCAATGCGAATAATTTGTCCATGTCTATACGCTGGCTCGTTACTATTCGATGGGCAAAGTGTGATTTACTAACTGCCGGTTTAATTGGCGGACGTAAAAAACCCAGAAAACTCATTATCTAAGCAAACTGGTCCTGCACTGAAGTGGTGCGATTCCTGCTGGTAGGACAAAGGGAACGGATGATCAATTGGCAAAGGAAAAGGTTGAAAAAAAACAAGAAAACTAATGCCATCGTATCATCACAAAGTAGATTACCAGTAGTGGTTTCACCTTGCACAGACCTACTCGGCAACAACCGAATGTTTACATTAGCTATCGATGCCTCAAAGAAGCTCATAGCTTTATCCACACTGTCCCTCTTTAAGCAACATACATATTTTCTGACCTAATCCAAAATTGCTTAATCGTATAACATCAACACCTTAAGCAGGTCACACCTCTATGGACCTACCAGCAGACGATTTAGCTTCATCCAGCGACGAAATGTTGAGGGCCCCTTTCATCGGCCTCCAGTCTTCCAGGCTGAGCCTTTTCGACAGACATTCCGCCTTGATGAGCGGCGAAATTTGGTATTCTTCGTCCGAAGTCCGCGAATCATCTGTAGATCGGGCGTTTTGGTCGTCGGTGGCCGGCATTAGCAGCCGCTCATCTAGAGCAGAAGCGTTTTTCAACAAAAAACTTAACGTTTATACCGGGTTATTCACGGACGTTTGCGGCTAAACCGTTTGATTTTTAAAAAGTATTGTTTTATCAATTGTCCGACGCCTACCGAGCGCAAAGTTGCGTTTTTTTTTAATGGAATGTCC